TATATATATCTATATATATATAGTAACTAAGTGCTTTTATCTAAAATGCTTTTATTTTTTTCTAATGCTAGAAAATTACCTCCGATTTAAGTAATCAGTTTATAGTAAAACCCAAATTTCCACCAAAACCTTGCTAATAACTTGCGCTATCGAAGTAAGTTATTAAAAAATAAGGGAAACTCTAAATTGATTAGCATTAGGCAAAGCTAAACTCTTCCCTTGAGTCAACTTTAGATAAATGCAGTTATAACTTTAACAAGCCTGTTATATAGTTAACTTTGTATATATGCATGCTTAAACAAACATAAATATAGATGTATAAAGTGCTACATTATACCAGTTTAAATATTTATACAGAGATCTCATGCTAGAAAAACAAAATTAAATACGATATCTTGTTCACAGATATTTGTGACAGCTTTGAAATGAGATACAATGTAGAATTCTCAGAGTATTTGTTTTAAAAATTCTAGTTTTCAACTAAACACTGTCTTTAAATATTACAAGAGAGCCCCCTATTGACCAAAAGTGTTGGCAGTTCAGCAGAATCAGCTAATTACCACTTACACACATCCAGCATGTATGTCATGTTAACATCTAAAATACATCATACCAAAAAGGGCTTAAAGGGCTTAAATGGGGAGAAATGAGGTCAGGGTACCTAAAATGTATTAATTCTTTAAACCCATGTTAAGGGAAAAATAAACAACGGGATGTATATGGTTCATTAAAGTTAGAAACAATAAGAGCTACTATTTAAGTTCTTTCTAAGTCTCAGACACTAGATGAAATGCTTTACATACATTGCCTCATTTAATATATAATCACTTTAGTTCTTTTGTATATTTGCATGCATGTTAATTCTTAGCTTTCTACTCAAATATTTCCTTGTTAGAAAAGATAGATCTTTGTGAAAAAAATGACTTTAGGAGTTCACAGAACCATATCAAAAATGTATACTTATTACAAGATGTTTTAAACTACATCATCTTAATATAACTTTTGTTTAAATCTGCTAAGTACTATGATTTATTTTTTACTAGTTTTTTTCCTAAAAGTGAATTATTCATTTCTTACCACGGACAGTGATGATCCATTCTCCTAACACAGTGGCCGCAGCGGCTGCAGTGATGGGAACGTTTTGGTCTCATCAAATTACACTTGTTACATAATTCCCAGAACTCCCTTTCTAGAGAAAAAAATTAAAATCCATTTAATGAAGGCAAATGAGTAATGCAGAAATTTATCAACAAGTTTAAAATATTTTATAGAAAGCCTTCAATATATATGTTTAAGACATTTTCCTTCTAGTCTCCAGTATAAATGTTTCCCATAAATGTTGCTGCTCTGTTCTCTGTATGTCTGATTTTGTATGTTTCTAATTTTCAAAACTATATAAAAATAAGACACTATTAATATTCAAACTAAGGGATAGAAAACAATGTATTTGGGTTTTAGACATATTGCTATAAGTAAAATTTAATGACAAAACTCTAAAATACAACCAAATTATGTTAGAACAGAATTTTATTTAAACAAATTAATTTCTAGAAATTTTATTATCTAAAGGCTCTAACAAAGGAATAATGCGGAGTCCTGGTTTCATGGGTTAATAAATCAAAATCAATCCTATAACCTCATTAGAGAAAGAGATTGCATTCCCAACCCCCAAACCATTTTATTTTTTTAGTATTAGTGAGTTCATTGGGGAATGTTTATGGGAGACCTTTAGAAAAGAATTTCAGATGGGTTTAAGAAACATTAGAATAATTTTAGAAGTGAAAAGTTACAAGAAAATTACTATTTAATGGAAATAAAGATGTTTTTTCAAAACTCTGTCCTACCACCAAGAATAATTTCCCTTTAGCCTATATTGAAAGAGTATAAAAATAAGTTTTGTGCTAAAAACATGAGGTTTACAGAAATAAAATTTAAAAAAGTAATGTATTCTAATCAGATCCATAAAAACTATATGGGGCCTGGCCAGTATGCTCTGTGGTTGAGCATTGACCTATGATCCAGGGGATTGCAGTTCGATTCCTGGTCAGGGCACATTCCGGGGTTTCCGGCTTCATCCCCAGTAGGGGGCGTGCAGGAGGCAGCCAGTCAATGACTCTCATCATCGATGTTTCTCTCTCTCCCTCTCTCTTCTTCTCTCTGAAATCAATAAAGATATATTTTAAAAAAAAACACAACTATATGGGAAAGTGACCTACCAAGAAGAGACAACTGCTTTGTTACACGGAATGTATCTATTTAATATTTGTTGAAATAAAACTTTACTTTTACAAAATTCTTAAACCCTCCATCACTTATGTTTACACTACACTCTAACCTCATTAAAAGTACGAGCATAGTAAAATTAACCTAACTCCACACTCAGAGTGAATATTAGTATATGCAAAGTATGGCCCTAGTACACAGTATGTGGTCACTAAATTAAATGCTTGCTAAAGTATAAGAAGTTTAATAGAGGTAGTGTTCAATTTTCTAAAAAGATACACGATTTTAGTTCCATTATTTAATTTAATGGCCAGGAGTAAAATCAATATATTGGAATTTTATACAATGAAGTGTTGAAAACACATTCTGCTACAGATGTCTCTGAATAAATCAATAATGTATAAATAAAACCCATATCAAGCTGTTCCAATAATATAAAAGTTGAGAAATTAACTTTTACATTTAAAATCTCATTTTAAAATAAAATGCTTTCATTTCAGTTCTTCTTTTGATGAAAACATAATCATGTGAGAAAACAATATTAAAGCTTAATTCAGTTGAACTAGTATCCAACTGTAAGTGAAATGGAAGCTCATTTCATATGTAGCAAAATATGTCACAAGCATATCACCATTTCCCCATTTAACTAGATAATCCCAAACATCCCAATGTTAAAACTTTGAATTCACATACTACAAGAAATACAGTCAAAAAAGAGATTCTCCTCCATGAGCCAATTTTTATTAAAAGCAAACATAAAAATTTTACATTCTTAAACCAGTCCCTAAAACATAAAGATGGTGTTATTCATTATTGGCAATTTTAGCATATAATATTCTAGAGACTAAAATTCTTTACTTCACCCTTAAAATGTTATATCCTCAGAAAAGAAGAGAACATGTGGCTATAATGAGAAAAAGCGTGTAATTCTATAGTCGAGGCCACAGGTACAGGCAAATCCAGGCCACCACTTGTTTTTGTATGACCCACAGGCTAAGAATGATTTTGACAATTTTAAATAACTGATAATAATAATAATTTGTGGGATGTAAAAATCATGAAAATCAAATTTCAATGTCCATAAATGAAGCTTTATTTGAACAAAGCTATGCCCACTCACGTACATACTGTCTATGGCTACCTTTGTGCTAGAATGGCAGGGGTGAGAAATTGTGACAGAGACCATATGGTCCATAAAACTGAAAATATTTTGTTATCTGGCCCTTCAAGTAGAGTTTGCTGCTCTATGGTCTGAACCATAATTTTTTTTTTAAAGAGCTTGAGCCACTCATTCCTTTAGCTAAAATTTAAGATACTATACAAGTACCTAAAATGAGAAATACCTATGAAAACTCATTTGCACAGGCATGCATGAGCACAAACACACACCTATGTACTGTAAAAATCACTACTGGAAAAAACTAGAAATTTAATTATAACATCAACTATGTTTTTGCTTTTTGTATAGCAAAAAAAAAAATCCATCTAAACCTATCCAACATATCTATAAACCATTTCTTAGTCTCCCTTTCCTTCTTCAGGGTATACTCATGTCCAAATAGGACCTTGGTGGCCGATATGGTCAATACTTTTGTATTAGCCATCTAATAGTATAAAATAAAAGTCTATGGGAGAGAAAAATCCAACTGCTAATTTATGGTAGCTATAAAAAATTTAAATCTCACAGATATATGTTTTAAAGGAAGGAAAAATCAAAACATAAAACAAATCAAAGTAAAAAGGCAGACTCCATAAATGACTGAGGCTGTTTAATAAAAGTAAACAGCATCACACTGTTTAACATGGACCCTTATGGATGCTGTAAATGCATGAATGAATATAAACCAAGGTTTTGCTTTGTTTTGTTAATCCCTCAGAAAGGAAGGAATCACTTTCTGTTTGAGTCTTTTAAAAGATTCATATTATTAGGGAGCTCTCTCTCAATTACTGCATTTAAAATCACAAAGTAATGTTTTAGGGGGAAAAATAACTTGAAACTACCAAAATCAATACAAGGTTTGGGTTCTAATAGTGGTTCCCTGACAGAACTGATTGCCATCGTAGGAAATAAATATCAGTTATCCTCCTACAGGTAACCTTTAAAAAGCAATATAAGAGGCAGCAAAAAGGCAAAACTATGACTAAATACATGGCCCTCAGCATTAACAGCACATGCATCCCTAGAGCTGCAGTTAAATTTCAAGGGACAGGATCAGACAAATTTAAAACATAATATATTTTTTAAACCTTGGATGATTTTGTAATTTAACAGTATGTCAAAAAGTAGTTCTAGTGAGGACAAAAACACTGAGTCAAAATTACCGGTTAAGGAAGAGCTTGATGATGAAATGTTCTCAGACCGATTGTGGTGATGGTTACACAACTCTGAATATACTAAAAGCCACTCAAGTGTACAATTTAAATGGGTATATTACATGGCATATGAATTATAATCAATAAAGCTGTTTTAAAAAGTTAAGAGATTGAATAAAATCATTTCATAAAATTTGACCATGACAAAAGTAATATTTCTATATTTCAGATGTGTGTGAATAATTTGAATAACATAAGTAGACATTTAATGTTTTCATTTGACTATTTCAACTACATGCCCAAATTTTTATAAAATCAAATTCTGGGGATCTTTGCATGGGAAAATGGAACATTCTCTTATATTCAAATTGTCTCATATTTGGTAAGTCACATAGATATTAAATTTATTATGGTTTTTAAAAAAATATGTAAAGTATTTCAGAGTAATTAAATTTAAAAAATGGTTGAAATCATAAAGCATTAGGATTTTATTTGCCTTTTCTAAAGAATTCAATTCTATCAAACTGCTCAACCTTAAAACAATACTGAAAAGATGTTACTACTCTACAGCCCCAACTTTTTAGTCATGCTATATTATTTTTCACTGTTAAAATTTTGTATTTACCAGTTAAAACCATATTTATAAAATAATCAGGTAATCAGAACTAAAAACATATGACTTCAAATTTTCCCCACAATCAAATCAAAGGTGAATAAAGAGCTAGAATTTTTAATCTGTACATAGAGCCATGGTAAAAGGTGGTGGAGACAAGGATCTGGGCCTCAAATCAGTTCTGTAATAATCTGCTATGTGACCTATAATGGATAGTCTATGTTCCTGATTACCCAGGCTACCTACCTCATATAATTACCATGAGGATCATATTACATGAGATATCAAGGGACTTTGAAAACATTAAAATATGATAAGTTAACACACTTTTTTCAATCGGAAAAAAAGGGAAATCTTCTGAACTCAGTGAAGCAAAAACAGGGCAAATATCAGACATCCAAATAGTCAGCAAGATGGTGTCCTCCATTGCTACAATCTATAAGCTGAAGGTAACAAAGTGGTTTCATGTAACTCTAATTAGGCCCACATATGTAATCTGTTTGGTATTCATTTAAAAACAACATTTTAAAATTTTGAATTAGTTGCCAATATTTTCTTTAAATCATGTAAATTCTCATAAAAATTGAGATTCTCTATTTTGACTTCAAAAATTGTGAGATCTAAGAATACTGGACCTACATGACAATTTCACTGAAGCTGAGTAGCAGCCACTCCCCTTAGATAAGAGATTTTCAATATGAAACAGTTCCTAACTAGTCCCATGCACTGATTTGCAGTATCTGACACATGTAGGCATTTGAGTAGTTTGACCAATGCAAACTAAAGATTTTATCAGGAAGGGGTCCTGGGTTAGGCAAAGTCCCCTTCTTTGATTTTCTGGGAACATTGGGTTTTAGAGTTGAAGTAGACAATATATGTACCTATATTTTAAAGCCTTTGGTTTAGGCTAGTTGAGAGGAGGGATTTTATACAAATTGAAGAGTGCCACCCTCCCTGCCCAAACACATACATAAACAAACTGCTAAGTGACAGTGGACACTGTTTCTCTAAGTTAATAAAAACTATTCAACATAGTTTTCAGAAAATTTTACAGCTATATAAACATCAGTGTCATATCATTTCCATTTAATCATTAAAACTTGCAGTATCAAGTAAGCAAGCCCCTAAATAACAACAATCAGGAATTCAAGGCAGGCTCTAAGTGACTTGCCACTAACTGCAGAAGGAATTAGTGGTTCCCAAAGTTTGCTTACACATTGAATCAGCTGGGGCCTTTCAAAAATACTGATAACTGGCTCCCACCCCCACATTGCAATTTAATTAATATGGCATGTGATCTGGCCATTAGGATTTTTAAAACCACCCAGGTGATTCTAATGTGCAGCAAGTTTGGAAACCAGTGGATTACCATCAAAAAGTGCTCTGGTTCTATAATGTATAACAAAGACACATAAATTTCTTAACAGAAGAAAGTACATGCTTACAGAGCAAATGATTAAAAAGTAACACTCAGTATAGAGGGTAAATGCGGTTTACGATATCCAGCATGCAATAAAATAAGCAATACATTTTCAATTCATTTTTGTGATATGAATGGTTACTATGCAATAAGGTGATTAAAATTATCTTCAATTGACACTAGACTAAAGGCTTTCAAATTTTTCACTGAATTGTTAGAACTTGGAGAAATATAAGCAACAATATTATAAAACTGCATAATTTACTATAAGCAATATTATATTTATATCATGAGGTAAGTGGCACCATCAAAACAATTCTCTATTAAATAAAAATATAATTTCTCAAATAATAATATACCATTCAACAAATATTTACCCAGTTTTTACTAAGTGACAAAGACTGCTCCAGACACTAAGGATACAGCAATGAACAAATGAAGAAAACAAAACAACAAATCTACACCCTCACAGAGGTTATACAGATTTAGAGTGGGAGGAGAGACAAGCTGAAAAGGAGAGCCTAGGGAGAGGGGAGAGGGTATGAGGAGTCAGCTGGGATTTGCAATATTAAACAGACAAGTCTGGAAAGGAAACATCATCTGAGGAAAAACTTTAAAGTTGTAGTAGATGCCATATATATCTAATATATACTAAAGGCAAAAATACATTAATAAAAATAATAATTCTGGCATGATAAATCTGAAGAATACCATACCTCCATGTGGGATCTTAGGGTTCTCAGGGAGTCTCCCTGGATCAGTTAATGAGGCCCTTACCAAGGCAACCAGACAAAATATGGCAATGCCATAGAATACTGGAAGAAAAGGCACAGGTAAGGGGAAGGGGAAGGGGAAGGGAAAGGAAAGGGAAGGAAAAGAAAGAAAGAAAGAAAATTAGTCACCCTTCAAAACATTTTTATCAACAAGCATATTTAAAGTTTAAGTGTATATTTTAATTAATACCATCCAGATAAATAATTTTCAAAAGGTGGGAAAATTAAATAATTCATTTCCTTCATCAAATAATACTGCCAAGAGGACGAACTTAAATGTACCACTTTTAAATGTTATTTTGCATAACTGATAAACTTGCTATAAATCAGATTCTTTATTAACAAAGATTCCCTATAAATAATGGTATAAATGAATGGGTTCCCTTTTAATTACAACATGTATTCTATTTGAAAAAAATTAAAGCAGCATTTTTTTAAACCTATTCTACAATTAAACTTTTTCATTAACTCTAATTGGCTATCTTCAAAATTACTTTCAGTTAGTGATGTTCAATTGTTCTTTTCAATAGACCTTAAGATATTTAATTTGAAAATAAAGAATCTAGAAACTTTTTTAAAGTTTTAAAATGAAAAAGTAGACAAAGTAACAGTAAAAGATTCATTATACCTTTCATCAAAATTATACCTTTTAAATAAATAAAAAATAGGCATTTTGTTGGGAGGTAAGAGTGCACAGCACCTATAATAGGAAACCTAGTTCAAGTGCTAACTCCAGGGCTGACTACATGGCACTGGTCAATTTTATCATTTGTATATCAGACACTGTCTTTCCCACAGCTCTTGTGAGGTCAAAATGACATATGTACATGGAAACTGTAAGTGCCATGTACATATAAAATATGTCACTTCAAACTTAATCATAAGTAAGCTATCACCAATGAACTATAGCAGAAAGTAATTATGGAGAAGTTCAAAGTGTTAAAATAACATCATAATCAATATCTGTATCATAAAAATCTCACTTCTCATTAATGTATGCCATCTTCATGCTTAAACTCTTTCTACATTTGCAATAAGTACATAAAGAAATATTAAAAATACACAAATTAGCACTATTGTACCAGTTGTTTTTTAAAAATAAAATGATCTTTATATTTCCCAGAGTTAGATATGGAGATACCACATTTATCTAACTCTGCAAAATAGTACATAAAGGATATTATTTTTTAAAACTTCTACAATTTAGTAAATAACTTAGTATTAATAGCACTAATATTAAAAAGGTTATCACAGTAGCACTATATTCCAAAAACATTCACAATGAGGAAAAGTCTTTAACTATATAAAGAAATAAAGACCTAGAAACTTACTTATTATTAATATGCCTGGAATATGTCCTTCTTCATAGTGAGGAAAGAGGACAATTTTGGGAATTATAACAATATTGTATAACCAGACAAAGACAATCAAACCCATGCAGCACCAACCATGCGGGTCAACAACAAAGTGAATCCGGAGACCCATTTTGCAGTCCTACAACTGCCTGCCAACCCACAGGGAAAGATGATCCTAAGGAAAGAGAAAGAAGATACAAGTTACTTATATAGAAAAAAAATTTTGATTAAAACAAAACTACCTTACTGGCAACTATAAAATGATACTTGTTGAATTTTCTTTGTATATTTTTGACAAAATAAAATACTTTAGAAAACACAGAGAAGTTTCAGGATAATCAAATTTCACCATAAGCATCAAATAATTTAATTTCAATTCTCTTTATGAATTGCTATCACAGAATATAAATTGACACTACCTTCTGAAATTAAACACGAGTCTGTCCTTAACCCAGAAATTCCATGTGTAAACCCAAAAGAAATGAGTACACATATCTACCAAAGGATGATAGATACATACATATATATAATTTTTTAAGTAGTTTTACATAAGACTAACTGACGGTCATCAAAGTCAAAATAGTAATTTTGTGGTGAGAGGGGTGTTTATTAAGTGGAAAGGGACACAAGGGAACCTCTGAGGGGCTAGAAATGTTTTATCTCTTGACATGGATAGAGCTTAGCTTTATGGATGTATACATATGTAAAAATTCACTGAGCTGTACACTTAGATTTGTGCAATTTAGTTTAATTTTAAACCATAGTAAAATGCTTATAAATCATTTTGAAAAATTATAAGTGAAAAGCAATTACAAAATCGTCAAAAATATTTAAATTCATTGAATGAAGCCCAACTAATCTTATTACTATCAACTCAAGAAGATTCCTGTTTAAAGGAGGCTTTTTTTCAGTTGAGTGTTAAATAACAGGCCTCCCAATGAGCCACATAAAGTTAAGATACTTCTATACCTATGGTACAAAAAAGTGGCTTAAAAACCCATACTTTAGTAGATGTAACTTAGAAGCTTAAATGATAAATTCTTATATAAGGTCTAGGGGGCACCTTTTACATAAAATACAATGGAATAATACAATAATAAACTAGGAGGGTGTTTCTCAAGCCAGTAAGCAAACAAAAATCAACTGAAGAGCTTTTTAAAAATACTATTCCCAGCCTGGCTGGGCGTGGCTCAGCGGTTGAGCATCAACCTAGGATCCAGGAGATTGGGGTTCAATTCCTGGTTAGGGCACATGCCCAGGTTGCGGGCTACAGCCGATCAGTGACTCTCCCATCACTGATGTTTCTATCTCTCTCTCTCTCTCTCTCTCCCTCTCCCTTCCTCTCTCTGAAATGAATAAAGATATATTTTAAAAAATACTATTCCCAGACCCCAATCCAGATCTACTGAAGCATTAATTCTTTATGGAGCAAAGCTAAAAAACCAACAAAATGTTTAAGAATGCTCCCTAATTGTATATGATACAGCTGAGTGGTATCTAGGAACCACTAATCGAAGCATTTCACTAAGACTTTAATGTTACAGCCATGAATTGAACTCAGTTCAACAAATATTCATTGAGCCTCCACCAGCAGTCTCTTGCTAGGCACTGTACATACAGTGATCAATAAGACATGGTCTTTGCTTAAAGGAATTAACAGTCTAAGGGGGAAAAGAGTCATAAAATGGGTTTAATATAATATGGTAAGTTCCAGAGATGTGGACAAATTATTACTTGAAGCACAAAGACCGGGACTAGTTAAGTCAGGGCAAGACTTCCTATAGGCGGTAAAACCTGAGTTCATTCTTAAAAGATGAGTAAAAGCTATTCAAGCAAAGAAAAGTGACAATACTACAGACAAAAGGAAGAGCAAGGGGTACACAAGAGTAAAAGTTGTAAAAGGTATTACAAATTGCCATCATAAATCAAAAATCTTTCAATGGAGAGTGGGTGGTGAGAAGGGGCTAGCTATATCATGAAGGACATAAAGATGCCATGTTAGAATATTAACACTTCAGCCCTGGCTGTGTAGCTCAGTTGGTTGAGCGTCATCCTGCGCACCAAAAGGTCACTGGTTTGATTCTGAATCAGGGAACATGCCTGGGTTTCGGCCTCTATCACCTGTAGGGGGTATACAGGAGGCAGCCAACTGATGTTTCTCTCTCACATAGATAATTCTATCTCTTTCTCCCTCTCCCTTCCTCTCTCTCTAAAATCAACAAAAACGTATTTTAAAAAAGAATACTAAGATTTCATTCTTAGGCATTGGAAAGCTATTGAAGTAGGGGGTTAACATAACAAGATATATACTTTAAATAAATTAATGAAGCTCTGATGAAAAAGATGAAAGATCAGTTAGAGTAGGAGAAGACAAAAGCCAAACTTAATTTTGGAGAAGAGATCAAGTGAAGAAATAGTTAGAATCAAACTAGTAATTTACTAATTGATTGGATATTAGAGGTCACAGGGGAAAGAGTCAATGACTCCCAGATTTTCAGTTTATATCCCAGTCTACTTCATTCTTAGAATAATTTACTATCAGTTGTAAAGCCTCAGGGTACCATCTCTTAAAGGCTTTGACAATGTTCTTTAAAGCCACAAAGCTACCCGAGCAAAGAAAAAAAAAGATTAAGGATTACTTAATTTTAAAAGAATGCCTTTATGCTATCATTCCTAGAACCAATAAATATTAGGGCAGCTGAAAATAAGACGGGAATTCAAATGCAACACCATTCAACTGTTGAAATCAGATATGGTCTAAATTAGTCCTTACATATGAAATCTAAATTATGAATAGCACCTAGGTCTTTTAAAAAGGTAAAAGTTGAATTTCATTGTCTTTTAATTAAAAAAATTAAAAAACCTATCAGTATCATTTAAGCAAGAAGTCACAGAGGATAAAGCATGCTATTTAACTTGCTAGGTATTATTTTAAAGATGCTCAAATAAAAATAATAAGCTATCTACATAGCTAAAAAGAGAAACATTAAAAAGAATGTTTATATTTACAGTCTTGCCAACCATCAAGTGCTAAAAGAAATGACAGAAGGCTCTGTCTCTCAACACATTCAATATTATTAACTTTATTTACTTCTTTCTTTTCACTTTTCAGTTCCATTCAGGACAAAACAACAGATTATGAATTACAACAATTATACAAAACAGAATATTTCATTACTTATTTCCAAGTTTATTAATATTAGAAACAAAAGAGCAAACAAGTCAGCAAAACAAGTACTAAATTATCAAATATTCATTCATTTTCTGAACTTAATTTTTACCCTCCTCTACCAGAGAATAAATTTTTCTCATCACGAGGAGAGAGAGATTCCTCACAACAGAAAATATTACACAGTGAAAAGTATAGTTAAAATGGATCTATTTTTCCTGGACATAAGCACATACAGATAGTGAACTCTAAAAGAACAAGCATCCCCAAGGAAAAGTGAACAAAGGATGAAAAACAGTAAGCAAATAAGATGCTGAATATTTTTTTAAATACCTGATTAGTGAAAATTAGTGCCACATAACCCTTAAAATTAGATTGTAGAGAAGAAAACAGTAGTCTTCCAAGAGTTCCAAGTCAGATTACAGCCAGAAACACGTAACTGGCAGAATTGCAGGATCACTCCATTCGGTGAATGTCTACCAGGCGTGGCTTACGGAGGAGCAGAAACTATTACACATCCTGAGCAACCACCGAACTGAACGCAATGCTGCTACTCCGTCTCAAGGGTGGCATTTGTAAGATACTTTCATTGGCCAGAGATTCCAACATAATAATTTGTATATTAAATGGTGAGCTCATAACTCAGGCTTTGATGTAACTAGTGGACATACTGGTACTTCAACATTTTTTAAGATTGCTATCTGGTAACTAACTATACTTGAGTGCTATGACTAACTACATTACATTAATGATGTAAATTACTACAGCACAAACTTTTTAAAAAGAAATTAACACTCAACTCTAATAAACTGGGCTACATAAACATTTACAATGTTCAAACTATTCCAGTAGGAAACCACCTTTCCTTTTTTGCCTTTTCGGGCAACTAAATTCCACCACAAATTTTCTTCAGGAAGAATACTCAAGTCACTATAAAAGTGACAGATAATTTACAAGAAATCTAGTCAAACATACATGTCTAAACTTAACAGTTGTATCTGACTCTTGACCTCAGCCAGTGGTCTTATTACTGTTCCATGAATATGAAGAATTCATTCCATCTCCCATTTCCTATCTAAAATGGCCTTACCATTTTGCTTACTCTAAAATTCAACTAATACTTCAAGGTCGATTTGAATCTCACTCTCTATATAAAAACTTTCCTGGCACCTTGGTTCAGAGTGATTTCTCTTTCTCTTCTATTCCAAATAAAAAGCAAAACTAGTAGAATAGCAAGTGGTTTTATAATCTCGGAATGAGGTAGGCCTTCACAAATGAGACCCATAAGCCAAGTTTGACTACATGAAGGAAAAAGTTCAGAAGCCCAAGAGACACCAAGAAAAAAGTTTAAAGACAAAGCAACCCTGGAAAATAATAACATATGACTAATAAGAAGCATACAAAAAAAATACTTAAGAGAGGCAATTAACAGAAGAAAAAAAATCCAATGGCGAATCACTAGTGATTAGGAATACGTGGAATAACTAGATACATTTTTTATCCTTTGTATTGACAAAATTTTAGAAAGACAGATGATATCCAATGTTGAGAGGGCAGAGAGAAAAGAAACAAGTATGCATGGAAACTGATACAATCATCTGGAGGGCAATCTGGCAGTATCCATTAAAATGTCAAACTCTTTGACCCAGTAGTTTTATTTCTAGTAATACCTAAAAAAATACTCATTAGAGTGTATAGGTATGTACAAGGATGTTCTATACAGCACTTTTTGTAATCACAATAATATGGCACAATCTAAATGCCCATGTGGATAGAGGGGAATGATTAAATAAATTATAATATCCATAGTGTTATAATTTATAAATAGTGTAAACTATTTCCAAGTCACTGCAATTTTAAAACAAAAAAAGGGGGGGTAGCTCTAGATTTCCATATGGCTACCCACATAAAGTGTTGAGTGAAAAGAAGTTACACTGGCCAGATCTATGGGGATGGAGATGTCTTAATAGTGGTTTCCTGAAAGGAGAGGAGAAAAAAGAGTAGGAAAGGGCACAAGGGAACTTTTGTGGTGCTGATAAGGATCTCTATCTTGATATGAGTTTGGGATACACAGTTCATGAACTGGCAAAACTCAGCAAACACACACTTAAGATTGTTGCATTTCATGGTATGTAAATTTACCTTTTAAAAAACCCTATAAACCAACATTGAACTCTAGTTAATAATATGTATGCTGAAGTCTTGGGGAGAGAGGGGAGGAAGTATACTGACAGCTGCAATTTACTTTGAACATGATCCAAAAAAAAAAAGGGCGATTGATAGACAGAGGGATGGATGAGTGTGATGAAGCTCAGCAAAACATTAGCTGTGAATATACGTGATGGGTATTCAAATGTTACACTATATAATTCTTTCAACTCTCCTTTCAAAATTTTTTTATAATTAAAAAATTGGAAGGGAAAGCCAGTTATAGAAAGATGTGTATAGCATGACTCTGTTCTTGTTAGAAGAAAAGTAGATGTGTAAGTAATTTCTGTATATGTAAAGGAAAAAGTGTGAAAGAGAACACATCTACAAAACTGGTAACAGTGGTTATCACTGGACTAAGGAAGAGCATCCACATTTTATGTATGTATTTTGTGTTCTTCTAAGTTTATTAGTAAACATATGTACTTCTAAATTCTTTTCAACCAACTGAAAAATAAAGATAGCCTAGGGGTTGTAGACGCAACAACCTTACAAACAAAACGTTTAATTTAAGCCTCTCTTTATCATTATATATTATCCTTATCTTAAATGCTTTTAAAAATTAATATTTTTTAAAATGCACTACAGAAGCATCAGCTGTAAAGCCACATAAGACTTATAATCCTCAGAGATGTTTCTGAAACTTGTATTACTTACAGATTATTTCTCTCTATGGAAAAAGTCTTACTTAAGAAAATGTTTACCTAAAATTTAATATGAATAATTTCAAATAAACATAAGGAAACTACTATTTTTTTGCAAATAATCTGTTAAATGCATCTAAACTTAAGAATTAAGGCTACTATGCCACATAATTCAGAAACATTTCCATGTAAAATTAAATGCAGACTTACCACTTGTAAATTCACTGTGATGTGTTGTATTTTTTCCGGTACTTGCATTTAGAGGTATTATCTTGATTCATTTTTTTTTTTTACATTCCAACAAATGGATCTTTCTTCAATAATTGTTCTCCATAAGAATCTATCAATGGTTTAACAAATAATTATCTCTCACAAAGATAAAAATTGTAAGCAGCTAAATAATCTAACCATGAAAATGTTAATTACAAAAGTTTTAAATTCAGAAATAAGGTGATTCATTTCCGCCTGATTCTGAACTTTCATACCCCATGCCACCACTCCAAAAATGTGCACATGAAAGTTCTCTCTTTTGAAACCACTCAGTTCCCATAAAATCAAATCAGCATTATGTGTCCAGCATTTGGACTTCATCAAGCTTCCTCACCACAAATCACAAAATGTCAATCGATTCTGAGATCACAGATGGGACAAAACGCAATGTAATGTCTATCATAATGTGAGGCTAGAACTATCTAATCACAATTGATAAACATAAAATTAAGAGTTTAAAGTAAAAGGAAGTTTTAGTTTAAAATACTGTAAGGAAAAAAGTTACCCTCCTGTAATAAAACCATGAAGAGAAGCAACCATAAAACTTAGTTTCTACAGTTCAAGCTTAAACAATAATACTGTAAAGAGTTTTAGATAGCATATACTGATTCAATATTTCATTAATTTAATCAACATCTATTGACTATATACTGTGCTTTGGCACTGGATATAAATACAAGAGAAAGGCCCGAGTAAACAGACAAGATCAATACCAAGTAAGACACGTAAGAGAGGGGAAGGGGGAAAGAAAGCATCTCATATAGGAAGGATATCATCTCATGGAACCTTTTTCACTTATGTGAACATTTATGTGTATACTAGGTTGCAATACAAAATGTATTTATTATGGTAAACTGCCAGCAGGAAAAGATTTCCGGAGAGAGTGAAGTCTGTGAGTTAGCTAAACGAAGAACCGAGGCTCTTCTGAACAAGGGAACAGATAAGCGAAGGTATAAAAGCAGGCAGAGAAAATCCAATTAAGCTGAAATGACAAGAGTTATTGCATATGGAAGAATGGGATAAAACATGTCTATCCTTTCAACCACAATAAACTCTAAAAAAATATATTTCATAATGTTAGTAGTACACACAAATATATGAGATTTACAAGTATATATTTCCTGTATGAAACATAACTGAAAAAGTTTAATGAAATTACATTTGCCCTTAATGTATGCAATGCCCTTTGATATTACTTCATGAGCCACAAGCAGAGAATAATCCCAAAGTGGAAAAGAGTGTTAAACCATGCCAATGAGTTTGGATTTCACCCTGAACTCAGTGGAAACCACTGAAGGATTTTAAACAGAAGAATGCCATGATGAACTTGCATTCTGGAAAGAAGAGCAACACTCTGAAGAATGGACTTAGGTGGATGGATAAGGCTCCAAGACTAACTAAATGAAATAAGATAGGCTTACTGGTTACTCACATTAGAAATCAGGGCACTTGGTAAGCACCCCAAAAATGGTAACTTATAAGAGGAGTGAAGAGGGAAGGAGGAAGGAACACTTAAGACAGGAGGCATGCTGGAAAAGGGCAATTAAGAACTTAATGAGTAAAACTTTAGGAGTTGGTGAACAATTGGAAGCAAAGAGCACATGCTAGGACGGCTCCCAAGTTTTTGGCTTAGGGACTAGGTGAAGTGTGGTACCATTCTCCAAGACAGGAAATAAAAGACAAGTTATGAATTTGCTAAGCATACTGCTTACCATAGCAATGAGAAACTATTATATACTAAGAATGTAAAAAATACATCATTATCATTACATTTCCATTCCCCTTAGAGATTTTTTAAAAAATAACTATTTTCTCCCAGGGTCAATTTTTCTATGGTCCATGATTGCTAGACTGTCAAAGGTAATTTATTTCTACTCTAACTTTCTAAGTTAGATTAAAGTGGTCTCCTTGGCTGTGCCTTTGTTTCTTAGAGACAATATATGGAATGACAAAATAAAGGAGCTGTTGCTCTAATAGGAAGTAAATGAATTCATCTTCTTTAGAAAAAAAATCTCAAGCAGAATTAAATGTGGTAAATCAAAATGTTCTGAAACATGGCCAAGGTCAATAATGCTGCGAAGACTATGACTCTATGGTGGCTCCTCCATGTTTCAGCACAGCAGTTTCCATGAGTAACATTACTAGGTAATAGCACGGGTCAACCATCCATGAGTCAAACTCCAGTCACTCACTGGCTGAAAATCAAGAAAAAAATCCTACTTTACTATTAGAGCTACACTGCAGCCATAGTATCCAAAATGAGATGAACATTTCATTTAGTTCAACACCACCACCACTGTTGTGGAATCAAATCTCCTCTATGTGGTATAAAAGCAATATTAGCTTTAAAAATCCAAGAAATTTTGGGATAACAAAAACTATCCCAAACTTTCATAACTATAAAATGTAATTAAATTTTTAACATTGCTATGTCTAAAAGAACACAATCAACAATTTATAGGGCGCACCAAAAAAGAAAAATTATATATCCATATATATATGAATATATACATGAATACATAAAATGTAAACCTATAATTGCAGCTTAAAATAGATTTTAAAAACAAAGTTACAACTATACACCTTTAAGCATGTTTATAAGGCTATTTAACTTCTGATTTTATCTACACTTAAAACTGGTCAAGTTCAATCATTCTACCTAAAATATCTATCCTTTTAATTAGCCAATGGGGTATACAATTTTTTTTAATATCACATTGGTACTCAATTTACTTCAACAGAGTAGGAAATTAATTTTGTACAGATATTAAAAAGAGAGCCACACTGAAATTATGACACAGCCTCTCATTAGCCCTCCAATGTAAAATGGTGGTAAAAATATTAACTCATGAGGTTGTTGGGCTTAAGTGAGAAATTGCCTGGCAAATGATAAGCACCTCCAAAAATGAGGAAGGGAAATGTAAAGATGAGTTCTACTTCTAGTCTTACAAACTCCAGAATGAAAAATGAGTCTGGGTCCCCATCTTTAAAGCGATGATACACTCTAACCATACCCCAGCTATCTACTTTCTCTAACGCTAAAGTCTGAGAACTCCCTGTCAGAGATGAGGAACCTCAAGTGATACAGCCTTTCAACTAGTATCATACTATAAGCATGTAGGGAGGTTGCACTTCCACATGTTGGCATGAGGTCTCTTCAAGCAGAAAACCAAAAATAGAGATGAGATCCAAAATAGAAAGACTGAATTGAAGCCTGTAAATTAAATCTCTTTTAAGTAAAAGCAGGACTGGTGAGTTAGTTATAGAATGAAGCATGAGAGAAAATCAGGACCTGATTTTAAAAGCTAATGAAGCATGCATAATTAAAGAATTCTGATTCAATTGCTGAGTTTTCCAGGAAGACTTTGTGAAAATGTGAGCAGTGCTACTTCATGTCTATAATGATGGGCTTTTTAAAATAGGCCAACTCAATTTACCAATGAGTCTTAACAAATCTGACGGTAAGACAGGTGTTTTTCCATTCTTGTCTTTCACCTATATTTTTTACTGATTCAAAATAATTCAAACATTTTCAACTTAAGAGATATTAATGCTAAAATGCCATTTATATTTAGTGCATTTGAAAAGGTGAATCTGAGCTGTAATAGTTTACTAAATAAAAAGTCTTCTTTCTTTAATGTAAAAGTAAAACTGAGCTTAGGGAACACCTTTCTGGTAATAAAAATAGCTTTCCTCTGCCTTCCCTGTTATGCCTGGTAGTACTGATACCAACACCATGTGGCCTTCTAAGCTGAAAAAGATTTCATTGACTCACACTCAATTACAATGCCAGAAGAAACACTCCATGGAGACATTACTAGACTTTTCAATTAATTTCTTCACTAACACAGGGCATTATTTTATCCATGTTCTTTTCAAAAGTTCTGAATCAGCCCCTATCAATTAAAGAAGTCAGGAAGTGGGCAAATAAGTAAAATTTTTATGACTCACTGATCACTTTTTGTTTTAGAACCTACCTGTTAGGCTAATGGTTATGTGCATGCATTTTAAAATGCTTAAATTTCTTTTATTAAATTGAACAACCTAGAGATAGGCAATGTAACATAGTTATCACATTTTATTTAAAATATGCTCTATTTCATTTACTCCAACTACAGCTTCTACAGTACGTTAAGCTTAACAGAAATCACAACAGTTTGAAGGGACCTAATATAATCCTGTTGCTTTACGTCCAAAACGAGGAATTCTGAAATAGCACTACACCAAACACTATTCCAAAAGAATGCAATTATACATTTTTTACTTGTATTTTGATATAATTTTACGAATATTTCTTCAAGTAAGTGCTTTAAATGTACCTTTAACATGTGAAAGGGTCTTAAATTATTTACAAACATACATATGCCACGTAAGCTTGGAAAAGCAAATAAACCTTAAAGAATTTAGCCTGACTTCTTAGTTGTATAGATGAGAAAACTGCACGGGTCACTGACCTACCCAGGGCGCCCCCGCTAGACTGTGACAGCAACGGGACTAAAATCTAGTTTTTCCTCCCACAACACCCAATCTCACTCGGTTCTTTCTTTTTTGACTGTTTTCTCAGCTCCTCTCGTCTTCAAAAATCTTTCTCGCCCTTAAAATACCACTAAGGCAAAACAAAGCACCTCTCCAGGTTTTATCTTTGAAAAGAAATAAAATGCAAAAAGATGGAAGAATTTAACAAGACATTACCCCAGAAGCATTTCAGTCCGGGGATGGCACATACTCCATTATCATCATCATGATGATGACTATCAGGACTACTGCTACCATATTACTATTGTTACCACCACCGGGAAGGTAGTAAGTTTTTTTAAACACACCTATCAGCATCCTAGGCTGAGGGCCCACGTGACACGTTTTTAACTTGCGCTTCATTACCCTCGGTCCTAATCTAGACTTTAGATTGTACCTTTACGGTAGGACGTGACCCGCCCACACGACCTTGCTCCCCGGCCCCTCCCCGGCGCTTTTATGGACGACTAAATTGCAATATTTCCAAGCACTAACTGGCGCGGTTCCCTCAGCCCTAGAGACACACGCACCCGCCCTGACTCACTCGGGCTCGTAAACCCGGACCCAGCGCAGCCTGCGAAAGGCCACAACTTTGAGCGGCCTCTCCGGCCGAGCCCCGGCGACCTGCTGCGGCGCGTGGTATCGCGCGCCCACGACCGCGCTCC